AAGACAATATCCTCTATGATAACATCCAGAGCTTGATTTTAAATATTTCTAGTCGGCTAAATATTTTTTTAGCTATTCTTACTCCATAATGGAGTGATCTCTTTTCGTTGGGATAGTCGATAAAGTTTGATATATTTTATAATACTATCTCAGTTTTTATATATTCTTGATTTGAAAACTTTTTATTTACATTTCATACTGTGCTGGAATGATGGTTTTTAATTACTCTATTATCACGTCTACATATTTTATCTCTAAATTTTCTTATATTAGTTTTGTATTTCTCATGGGCAAAATTAATGTATAATAACTGATGAATAAAATAGTAGAGCGAGAGTAACTTTTTAGTAAACTATTATTTCAAGTCAATAATCTTGCTTGCCTCAGTTTTAATTCTTACGGAGGAATTGTCATAGGCAAGATTATTGATCCTTAGTAAAAATATTCTCACGAAGTTATTACTTTATTTTAGCACAATTCAAACAAGAAAAATATTCCGGTTTAAACGACACTAGTCTTAAGTTGATTAATTAACATAATTCTCACGAAATGTTATTAATTGATTATTTCTTAGTGAGTAAAATATTATTGTATTAGAAATAAGCAATTATTCTTTAAAAATTGAGATTTTATTATAGTAATATTATCAAGTGAATTCAATGATTCCCAACTCTTTTTTAAATTATAAATCTTCCAAAAGTTATTTATTTTGTTTAAGTAATTAATAAGTTTTAAACCTCAATCACTTTTCATCAATTTGATTCTCTTAAATAGTATTACAAGTCAGTAGCATAAATTATCCGGTCTCTGTGAGATGATATCTTAAATTATACTAGAATTTGACAGAGTACGAGCAGGAAATTTCAATACACATTCGCCTCGTCAGATCCCAGGAAATCTATATAGATGACCGCCCATCTGACGAGCCGCAGGTGCGAGCCAACGAGCGCAGGAGCGACTGAAAGTGGACTGGCTAGTGTCCGCAGAAGCGAAGCTTCTTCCGCGGAAGCAGACTCGCTTCCCGCGATGGGGGGATCGCAGATGCGGAGGGAGGAAGCATGGAAGCAGGCTCGCAGATGCAGAATTTTTCCGCAAGTGCAACTAGTGCTGGATCGTGCGTGTTCCGCAGAAGCGGCGAAGCTGACGCAGATGTGAAATCGCTGGAGGTAGTGAGGTCCATTTAATCCGGACTTAGGCTCTTTTCCCCTATTTTCATTTAGAGAAGTTGACTTTGGAGCTCTTGGAGAGGGATTTTTCACCTATCATCGTGAGGTAAGTAATTCCCACTTAATGTGAGTTTAATACGCGAATTTTGGGTAGATTCTTAACATGTAAATTGTAGAAATCACGGGTTTAGTTTAAAAAACCTAGGTTTTGATGAAAATGGAATTAGGCCACGAAAATTACTATGGAATTGGTAAGAAATTATATTTTTGAGTTCGTGAGGTTATGGGTAACATTTACCTTCGAAAATTTCCGGAATTCGGGCATGTGGCCCCGAGGGTGAATTTTAAGAATCTTCTAATTTGGGTTGGAAAATTACTCTAATAGTTAAATTATGACCTCTTGAGCATGTATTGATTAATTTATATAATATTTGGCTAGTTTCGGATTGTTCGGCACCAACTTGAGGCTTTAGAGTGAATTTGTGGGCCGAAAAGTGAGCTTTGGGACGAGGTAAGTCTCTTGCCTAACCTTAAAAGAGGAAATTTACCCCATAGGTAGTTTAAATTGCTATTTGCTTCTAATTGTGGGTGCTACATACGCACGAAGTGAAGAGAGTTCGTGCGTAGCTACAAATTGTGCTTATGTCCGGGTAGTTTTAGGACCCTCTCATAAAATACTTGTATTGTTTGCACTCTACTTGTTAATTTAACTGCTTAATTTTTATTGAAACTTGTTAAAGGATTCGTAAAGACCGAACTTCACTTAATTTGAATTTTGGCGAATTACTTGGCCGTTGATAAAAATTGTGTCTCCTTATGAATTAGTCTTATGATAGCCTTTATATCGGATGTCTGTAGTATATTCTCTCTTCTTGTAGAGCGGACCGAACGCATCGGCAGTATAATAGATGCATCTGTGGTTCATACCGGTTGATCTTCGGCAGGGTACACATTATTCTGGATCGGGTCGTACGACCTCACATAAATCATGCGTGATAATGTTCGGAATCCGATCACGCTTGATATTATTTTTATGAATTGAGAATATGGGTGGCAAATGGGCGGGTTGGGCTGAATTTGAGCGGGTTAAGATGAGTTAGGTCAATAAATTGGTCATTGCCCAACCTAGCCAAAGTGTATTTGGGCTAAAATGGGTTGGGTCAAGATAGGTTAAACAATGGATCATAGCTCAACCCGCCCAACTTGACACATGTTTTAGAGTCATGCTCTTCTCGCATAAACAAAGTCTTTTACCTTTTATACACCTATCTATAAAAGGTACAGAAATATTATTAGTATTTTCAGAATCAAAATATATTTTCTTAAACAACAAATTAGTACTTAAAATTTATAAGTCAAAAAATATCTTTTATATTAGTTCTAAATAAATAAATTTTACCACAACTCAATTACAAAATTATTCATATTTACATTAGAGCTTATTAAATATCTTGATTCTCATTTTTAAATTTAGATACATAAACTAATGATGGGACAATTAAGTAAATTTCCAAACAAGACTTAAGTTGGGTTGAGATCCCTTTGTTTTGGATGAGCTTCATGAGTTGTATTTGGGCTACTTCATGGGGTTAGAATGTGCAATAAAAAATGATGAGTTAACTTGGGCTCATCCCAAATAGACCCATGAGCTGAAATATTTGTAGCTCAACCCATTAATCTCTGAGGTGATTGGACGGGTTGGATGAGTTTGGGCTCAAATTGTCACCCCTACTTGAGAAATTATAATTTACTTGATGGTCCATAATTGTTGAAGTTAGTATGTGTCAGCGGAGATTTTAGATTGACTTCTAATTAAAAAATCACTTATTACTATTGTTATTGTGTTATTATTATTATTACCGATGTATTTCATGCCTGTTAAAAAAATTATATTTATTTATTGGCACATATTAAGTGTCGATGTCGACCCCTCGTCACTACTTCTTTGAGGTTAGACTGGATACTTACTGGGTACATGTTGTTTATGTACTCACGCTACACTTCTGCAGTAATCGTGCAGGATCCAAGGCAGGTAGGTACATTTGGCAGTCATTCCGGCGCGCACCCGAGATAGCCTGAGGCATAGTGGTGAGTTGCTCTTTGAGTCCGTTCTGCAACAACTGCAGTCTCTCTTTTGTATTTACATTCTGTCTATCTTATTTCGGACAGTAGCATAGGTGTTTTGTATATTCTACTAGATGTTCATACACTTGTGACATCGGATTTTGGAAACATTTTAGCAGACATTTTATGGGTTTGAGAATTTATTTCATTGCATTTGCTCCTTCACTAGTTTACGCTTTACTTTACTATAATTTTTCACTTTTCATCTTCTTAATAGTTTTACGCTTTAATAATTTCAACTACTAATACATGTCTAGTTAATTATCGGCTGGCCTAGTGACGACGTTGGGTCGTGACAACTTTGTATCAGAGCACTAGGTTCACGTAGGTGTCATAAGCAGGCCTAATAGAGTCTTGCGGATCGATGCAGAGATGTCTGTACTTATTTTCGAGAGGCTATATGGTGTTAGAAAACTTTCTCCTTCTTCGTCTCCTATCGTGCAGTTAATGTTGTGCTAAGTATCTTTCTCTTATTCTCTCACAGATTGTGAGAACATGCGTGACAGATGTACCCGATTGTGGAGGAGCTGCTCCCCCTGCTATTAGAGGCTGAGGCTGAGGCCATGGGAGGGCTCCAACTCGTCCTAGAGTTGCTCAGTTGTGCCACCAGTGGATCCAATGGTAGGATCTTGTTGTCGAGGAGTAGGTAGAGGTACATGCAGCAGAGCCGGCCCCAACGAATTTCATGTCCACACCAGGATTCCAGGAGGTCGTGGGTCGTATCCTGCAGTTTGTGGACTCTACGGCTGGTTTATTTCCAGCAGACCTAGCCACATCTCAGGAGGGAGGGGGAGCACAAACCCCTACCGCTCAGTCTCCCGGGTATGCAGCTGCCGTATATCAGACCCCAGGTGCACTACTCGCGGGCGGAGCTCAACCAATTGCAGCGGCTATACTAGTGCCTAGACCAACTGTAGTCAACGAGCCGCAGAAGCTATTGGATAGATTGACAAGGCTACATCCTCCTGCCTTTGGAGGTGAGCGACATGAAGACTCCTAGGACTTTATTGATCGTTACAGTCCCACAGGGTGGACTTTACCACCTTTCAGATGAAGGTCAGGGCCCGTAGATGCTGGCAGTCCTATCTTCTCAACAAGCCAATAGGTTCTTCTCCCTTGACTTGGGACTAGTTCACACGACTTTTTCTGGAGAGACATATCCCATTCTTTCAGAGGGAAGAGTTACGGGGTCAGTTCGAATGGCTACAGAATGATTAGATGTCCGTGATCGACTATGAGGCGAGATTCTCTAAATTGTCTTGCCAAGCACTTATGATACTCCCCATTGATGCAGAAAAAGTGTGGAGGTTCATTGCGAGTTTGCACTATGGTATTCGGAGGATCAAGGGTATTCATCCAGCAGGTCAAAGAGCAGACGCTAAGGGACAAGCAACTTCGATATTCTGGAGGGTTCAGTAGTGCTCCGTATGGGGGCAGAGGTCAGTTTATGAGGGGCCAGTCTAGAAGGCTCACCTATACATCACCGCCACCTTCTCGGGGTGCTCCAGTGCGGCCCTATTTCAGCTCCATTCTAAAGAGCTCCTACCGTCCATCGGCTATTCAGGATTCCTCCAATGGGAGTTCAGGTCCCCAAAGTCAGACTCAGGGTCAATCATTTTTTGCACCGAGAGGTTGTTTTGAGTGTGGGAATCTTGGTCATATGAGTGGATTCTGCCCCAAGCTTCAGGGCAAGGCAGTACAATAGGATCATCAGCCCATAGTTACCGCACCAACTGCCGCACCAGCCGTCCGGCCACCCAGAGGCTGAGGGTAGGTGGGTAGGGGCTGTCCTAGAGGTGGAGGCCAATCAGGTGTCGCTCCAGCTTGGTTCTATGCTTTTCCATCCAGACCAGATGTAGTGGCCTCAGATGCCGTGATCACCTGTATTATTTCTATCTGCGGTAGGGATGCTTCAGTGCTATTTGATCCAGGATCTACGTATTCATATGTTCCATCTCTGTTCGCTTATTTTCTGGGTGTTCCTTAGGAGTCTCTGAGTACTCCAGTATATGTGTCCATGCCAGTGGGCGATTATGTTGTTGTAGATCATATTTACCGGTCCTGTATCATGAATTTTTGTGGTTGTGAGACTAGAGCGGATCTTCTGTTGCTCGATATGACCGACTTTGAGGTCATCCAGGGCATGGACTGGTTGTCTCCATATCATGTCGTCCTTGATTGCCATGCCAAGACTGTTATCTGAGGCAAGTGCAACTGGCAGTCATCCAGGCGCACACCCTCGATACCCCGAGGCATAGTGGTGAGCTGCTCTCTAAGTCCGTTCTGTAGCCTCGTAGTCTCTCTTTTGTATTTACATTCTGTTTATCTTATTTTGGATAGTAGAATAGTGTTTCTTATATTATACTAGTTGCTCATACACTTGTGACACCAGATTTTGAGAACATTTTAGTAGACACTTTATGGGTTTGAGTATTTATTTCACTGCATTTGCTCCTTCACTAGTTTACACTTTATTTTACTATACTTTTTCACTTTTCATCTTCTTAATAAATAAAAATCAACGATTTTGAAATTATTAAAAGAACAAATATATGTCTAGTTCACTATTGGCTTGTCTAGCGACGACGTTGGGCGTCATCATGGCCTATAGGGGAATTTGGATCGTGACACCCTCCAAACCAACTGGACATCCCAAAGGTCTTTTTGCCTATTGTTAGTTACTAATGTTGGTAAAACTAATGCAAAGTCATGAGGAAAGGGAGATACCTGTAGTATTATACATTGCAGCTGCATGTAGCACAGTTGTGCCATAGGGACCAGCATAAGATGGTGAAGTGGAGTTGTTCAAGATGTGTTCCACTGATTTTTCATTTTTAATCTCCACAGCTAGATACAGTGGAGTCTTCCGAGCATTGTTAGGCGGATGTGAGAAGTCAGGATCTTCTTTAACCAACAATTCTACCACACTACAATCATGCCTCTGCATTACAGCTTCGTGCAAGGCCGTATTTCCGTAGTTGCTAGTAATCCTCAAGAACTCCCTGGTTTTTCGAATGCCAGAACCAGCTTCTATATCAATAACCCCATCGACCCCTCCACAATTTTTCATGTAGTTGATAAAGGCCTCGACGAGATCTCTGTTGCCCCACCTAGCAGCCGTATGAATAAAAGTATCTCCATTAGAGTTCAAGCTGGAAAATAAGTCTGGACCGGCGATAGCAAGAAAATCTCTTGTGTTAATTTGCCATTTTAAACCTTTATTTTGAGCTGCAATATGGAGGACAGTGTTGTTGTAAGGAGTTAATTGGGTGGCGAACTGACTCTTGTATTCTTCCAGAACTTTCATGTCACCTTTTTCAGCAGCTGTGTACAGCCGCCCATCCATCGGCATTTTTATTTATCAGAATTAATCTACTTGAAGAGGGATATATTAATGAGTCTGTTTCTCATATAACTCAGAAAGTATATAAGCAGAAAGTCTGTTCCTCCTTCCAATTATTGGTAGTAATGCAGTCTCATCAAACAATTTTAAATGAACTAATCATCCTTTAAAATAAGGTTTCTTCCGCTCAACTAGTGGTAGGTGATCTTCTGCAGTAAAGAAAGACTAATGTGGGTAATAAAGAAAACGACAAACTACGAGTGCTTAAAGTCTTTATTTTTTATTTTGTTTTTGTGTGTGGCCAAAGTCTTTCAGTCATTTTTAAAATGAATCCGTGGTATACTCCTGATTGATTAATCTAAATAGCCATCCACGAATGTCGTGTCATCGATTTTTTCTATTTTTGTTAATAAAATATTAACCTAAAGCCATCCACCAAGAGCTTAAACTAAAAATAGCCGATAGATGTCTCATTCATGTTTAATTGAATCTGATTGATTAACAGTTTATTTGGATAGTTTGTTAACTTGTTAGGTATCGTTTCATAATAAATTGTATAGTATTATAATGCATGGTATTGTACGTACCGTTTTGATGTATATAATATTTGGATATATTGTATTATTTATTGCCGGTTCATAAAGAATAAACTTGCAATATTAAAATAAGGTACAATATAAATTATTATATAAAAGGTAGGATAAATGATAAAATAGGATTATTTTAATGATAAGGAAGGTGTTTACCGTAAAAATGGTAATAACAATTAGATTTAATTTAGTGGTTCTAAAAATACGTGTTATATTTTATGCTAGTTGTTAGATCGTGGATTATGTGAAAGACTTGGAAACGAAACAAGAACCTAGGAGCAAGGTGATAATTGGACTGGACGGTCAATAATCGAAGCCACAAGCTTGTCGATTCGGGGACCTCGGGGTCGATACTGGAGCTCGGTTGTGAACTATCGGGCGTGGTTGATAGAGACTAACAGTTATAAATTATTCAACGACGGCTCTATATGGCCAATAATAAGCAATAAAATGAAGAACAATGAGTAGAACACGACAAATATAAGTAATGAATTAAATAATGAGATCAAGAGAATAAGTGAGAGAGCAGAGAGAATGTTCTTATGCATTTATTATCAAGCAACTGAACTTACAAAATGACAAGGATCCCCTATATATAAGAGAGAGAATCTTAACATAGTATATATGCATTAATTACAAAGATATGGGCAGGTACATCCATTTAATACCTTGATTCGCCTTTTGAGCTAGCCCACTAGACCTGTCTTGCCGTGCGCACGTGCCTTGGAAACCCCGCCTTGATCCGTCGAGATCAATAATTCACACTGCCTCGGGGGCGGTCATTACTTATATTTTCTTGAAGTTGAACTGTCGAGAACTCTCGGGATCGATCACTGGAAACCCTCGAGATGTCGTGGTGCTTGTGAAATCGAGCTATCGATTTCCACCGTATACAGATAGTCCCCGCGTTTTCTAGAACGAAGTGATAGGAAACGATCCTGAGCCCCTGTAAGCATCATCTCCATGACGTCAGCTCATCAGAGCATTAAATGCAATACTCAAAAAAATGCGCAAGGGTTACCGTCAAATGCGCCTATTGAGAAGCCCACGAACCCCTATTGGTTCGTCCTTTCCGCTGCCCACACGGCTCTTATAAGTGCATCAGTCAATTGATAACCCATATTTTCACAACACCTTCAAATTTTCAAGGCCAAGCCTATCCCCTTTCACATCCTTTCTTCTTCTATTCTTGACCCTTTGCCTACTTTCTTAGTAAATTTCCACCACCATGCCTAGAACTTCTAAGACGGTTCCTCGAAAAGACGAGGCTGCCTCTTCATTCCGAACATCCAAAGGAAAACCCAAAGTGATACCCATGGTCGAACAATGTACTCCTACCGGGTTCGACACGACGAAGGATTTTACCATCGATAAACCTTCATCCACACCAGGCCGATGCTAACATGTGTCCCGATACATCAGCGTCGTGACTGATATAAAGAAAGTGAAGGAAGACTACCGGTGGGAGGAGGCAGTGCTGGTTGAGATCCCCCGCTCCAACGAGAGCGCAATGGATCACAAAGTTGGTTTCCTTTATGTATATACTTACATGTTTACACTGGGTCCGGTCGATTCTTTTAACTCTTCTTCCCCGGAGATAGATTCGGTTATTCTCGATTTTTGTGACAAGTACTAAGTGACGCTTGGTCAAATCTATTCGTCTTTTTGGAGGATAGTCTACATGCTCCGCCACTTCTCCAATGGGATCGAGGGCAAGGCTTTTACCCTCGACCACTTGATCAGATTGTATAGCCCTCGATTCTATCGAGGTTTGATTAAGCTTCAACACTGGTCCAAAAAATCATTTTTCTCGAGCACCGATAAGGATAAGGATCAGGGGTGGATGAGTAGGTTCGTTTGAGTGAGGACTTCTGACATTATCCCGGGAGGATGCCATTCCCGGAGAAGTGGAATACACAGCGTAAGTATTTTTCTTTCAAACATGCTTTGTGACCTTCTTGCCTCGCTTCCAAAAAATGATCTCCCTGTCACACCTCCTTTTTCCGTCCCCGCAAGGGGTGAAGGAGTTTTTCCAATTAAAGGACAATCGAAACGGGATTTATTTATTTATTTAGAGTAGCCACTTGGGAGATTTAGGGTGTCCCAAGTCACCAATTTAATCCCGAATCGAGGAAAAGAATGACTCTGTATTACAGTCCGCGAACCAGAAATCCGGATAAGGAATTCTGTTAACCCGGGAGAAGGTGTTAGGCATTCCCGAGTTCCGTGGTTCTAGCACGGTCGCTCAACTGTCATGTTCGGCATGTTTATTTGATTTTATACAATTATGAGCTCATGTGCAAATTTTAACTCTTTACCGCTTTTATTATTATATTTTAAAAAAATATGAACATCGTTTAAAAAATATGTATTTGGATTGCGTCACATGAAATGCACCCGCGATCCGGAACGCATTTTTATTCAATGTTTTGGGATTTGGATTTGGGTTGCATAAATGCGCACCCGAGTTTAGAGATGTAGTATTATTAAAATCGTGCCTAAAGAATCTAACGCTTTATTACTTTGGAGAAGGCCATGAAATTTGCTAAACGGCCTATCTCGAAATCTAAGTATTCAATTAAACATTTATTGAGGCCCCCGCAATTGTTGCGTTTTATTGGGCGAGGCTCATCTCATTTATTTTAAAAGGACAATCCTAAAATGCCTACATTTTTTCTATTAAATTTGTCTCTACAAAATGAAAGAGAAAAGGTCTTAATTTATTTACATGCTTGAGTTGTTATAGTTGGGTTTCGAATATGATTCATAAAATCTGAAAATGATGCAAGCAGGGCAGTCCGTTGCCAATGTGGGCCCAGGCCCGACGTGTATGACACAAAACTGGATCTGGGTCATATTATTCTCATGTTACTACCTAATTACATTATACTAGGTATGTTCACAGTTTGTCAAATTAAAAAAAATCTTGGCAATCTAATTTTAATCCTAGACCATTTACATGCTGAAATTAACCAATAGTATTTAGCTAAACAATATTCCTA